AAACGCACTGACTGGCAAACGGAATCGTGTAACTTTCGCCGATAATCTGTGCGGAAATGGCGCATCGAAACGGCTTTCAAATTCAATGTTGGAAGGGCATGTTCTAGAGGAGGATGACTTAGAATCAGTGGTCAGCGAGCGAGAAAGCTTATGTCAGGTTCATTTTGCTGGCGAATGCCTTTCATATGTTAAACGAATTGCAGTAAAAATGAGGGTAAATCCGCACTTCCTTAAAGCTACATAAGCCCTTAGATTCAGCCCACACTGTTATCCCACATGGAGCAAGATATCTAGTGCACCTATTAAGATTTTTGTTCGCCCCATCCTTACGCTCCCATCATTCGTCATCAATTTACCAACCGCTAATTACCAAGATGTCAAACAATTTAATACTTTTTCGAAAAGTGAATTCTTCTTGGTTTGTTTGAAGACGCCAAGATATTAAAACTCACCGCATCTAAAAGTGTGAAAAGCTTTATAGTATGAAAAGCTTATACAGTGTGTCTGAAAAAAGATTATTTTGTTTTGACCACCGAGAAACCTGCGCCTGCAACAAAACCTTCATCTGCGTAGCTGGCAACTATTTGCTTGGCTACGATCTTATGCTTTCAACGCCCCTCTCTACGTTCAAGATAATATGGATTAGCTTACCGTGCCAGTGACGCCTGCACTAGTATTTTAACATATGGGTACCATGATTTTTTCAACCACTCAGCCCTGTCTATCTACCAGCACAACTTTTCTCCCTCATATGCATTTGTCCATTAACGGTCTTCACCACAACGAAACTGGTGTTGGAAAGCTTCGTAGAAATCATGTTCCGAGGATCTTCAACAGTCATTTGAACACTGTAGTCGCATAATAGTGTCTTCATTTTATTGAATACTTATTCGCATACTTATTGTTTTTCAATATGTAAATTGTAGAGTAACCCATTTTTAAAGCACGGTACTCTTTGCCTCATACCTGGAGGAATTCATAAAGCTATCAGCAAAACCCCTCTGAGCATGTCTATAAGCAGATCTCGAAAGAGGCAGTTATTGAGGTTGCAACTGAATTTGGATTAAAATAGAATAGAAAAAGAATGCAGGAAGGTGAAAATGATGCAAGAGAATAGAAGTGAGTGCTTAATGGAGAAAAAGAAGAGGAAGGTGGCGATGATGTAAGAAAAAATTAATAGTGAATGGTTACTGTAGGCGTGCGCTGCCACTGCAGCAAGTGGTTACTGTAGGCGTTTGCTAATATTCGAGCGGTGAATGACTTAGACCTTCACAGAGAGTGAATGGAGAAGGGATTTTAGCTTTTCATCAGTTGAATCGTTGGTTTTGAGACCTAAAATAACATTGATCCTGTTATGCTGCTTCACGCTGCCCTAGCTCATTGTTTTCCTCTGCCAGAACGCAACAATTTTTGTTCACTTTTTGGTTCGAATGGTTCGTTTCTCTTCCTTGCGTCTCATCCACTGTTAAATAGTTCTAATCAAGCCCATCACAGAATGAGCATTCCTTGATTTTGTGAATGAAGATTTAGTAAAATATTATTAACTGGTTGGAACTTATTTATGAATTATTGTTGTCGGAGACAAGGAAATGGGCCCTAAATGAATGAAGGTTGAATTTAGGATCTCGCATATGCGGGCGACGATGGAAGTCTCAGTCGGAGGAAAAGGCCAGTAACATGCCTACCACCTACGCCGCAGCTTAGCTCCGAGGTACCATGCATTCATATCATTAATTCAATGGGTAATCTCCGGGTATACAAATGGAAGGAAAAGTAACCGTAGCGGAAATGTGTCCCGGCAAAGGGAAAGGAAGATAGCTGTATTTTTTACTAAGTCTGGAAATAATTTTGAGTAGAATCTTTCAAATA